GGGGGGGGGGGGGGGGGGGGGGGGGGGGGGGATTCTATGCAGAAAGGACAGACTGAGCAAAGGTGGGGGGTGCAAGAGCCCGCTAGTGTTTAGGGAAGACAGAGGAGGCAGACTTGGCCAAAGCAAAGAGAGTAACAGGCGAAAAAGCTGAAAAAGAAGGATCTGAGCCTGTGGTTGAGAGCCCAGAATGGCAGACTAGACTATGGACTTTATTCCTACTACAGTCTGGAGCCATCTGGTCATTCCGCAAACGTTCCTTAATCATCTGCTATGTGTTAGGCCCTGTGATACACAAAGAAAAACAAGGCACGGCCCCTTGATCTCACCACTGAATTCCACGGTAGCACAACTTTCTAGAAATGTAGTTTAAACTCAGAGCACTTCAGAGCAAAACAAAACTGGCCAAAATGACAAAATTAATGAGTCTTTTCTAATTGCACTGTGACACACTATCCCAAAAGTAAACAATTGAACAATTACTTGATCACTTGTTCGAGATTCTGCGGCGGGGACGAGCTTGACAGAGAGAGTGCATCTCTTTTTCTCGGGCTGTCAGCTGGAGTAGCTTGAGAGACTGGGCTTTGGATGCAGTGGCCAACATGTGACGTGTGTCTGAGCCGCAGCCTTTGCTGTGTCCTGGGTTCCTCGGCTGTCCTCCACATGGGGATTTCAGACTATCTTTTTTGCTCTTGGTAGTTTGTCTTCTTCTGGGGTGGCTGGCTTTCCCCAGAGTGCAAAAGAGGAAGCTGCCAGGGCTTCTATAACCAGCACAGTGGCACTTCCGTCACATTCTAATGGCTAAAACAGGTCACAAAGTCCAGATTCAAGGGGAGGAGTCTATACAAGGGTATGAATATCAGGAAGTGTGATTCATTAGGGGCCATCAAAGTAAGAGGCTACCATGGAATCTTAAAGTCAAATAATCCAACAGCATCTTCCACAATTTTTTTTTTTTTTTTTTTTTTTTTTTTTTCGTGTCCGGCAACGGACTGCAACCCTCAGTGTCGCGCCCGTACTGGACCGGGACCGGCAACGGGATTGCAGCCCTCGGCGCTGCGCCCGCCCCTTGCTCAGCCAGTGAGCGGGAACCGGTCTGTATGTGGGATCCGAACCCTCGGCAGGAGCGCCGCTGCGCTTCCCAAGCGGCGCACTGTAGCAGTGCGCCACCAGTCTGGCCCCATCTTCCACAATTTTAATCAACTAAGGGACATTAACTGCAGAAATGTTTCTACTCTAGAAAACATAACCCCACCCACCTCGCCCTATCTCTGCCTTTTGGAGTGCCAGAAAAATGCAGTCCCTTTCTTATGCCACTCAATGATCACTTAATAGAACCGCAGCAGACTCTAAACCAAGCTTGCAGCACAGTTTCCAACAAACCAACATCTGGGGAGGGAAGGGCTCACAGCTCAGAACCATCCTACCACCTGCTCCTGAGCCTGTGTCACTCCTAAGAGTTCCTGCTGTCATGCACCCAGGAAGAAGGGAAACCCATTCATGACAGGCACCTGCTACCCCTCTGCCATCTCCCATATCTCTGTCTCTCCTGGGACACTCCTCACCCTCTCATCTGTGTTACACAGCCCTGTCTCTGGGAGCTAGGGAAGAAAACTGGGCTGTTGGTTCTCAGAATGCCATTTAAGATCCATCCTTCTGTAGCTTTTATGACCCTATTGTGTTTTCCATCCTTGGTGATTGTAGTGGATGGAATTATGTCCTCCCAAAATTCATTGAACCTTGAATTGTCTCCCAAGTTTTATGTTTTAGAAACTTAGCTCCCACTGTGACTCTTAAGAGGGTGGGAAATCCTATTATGATAACTGAAGGGTGGATCCTTGAAGAGGTGATTGGACTGTAGGACCGTGCAGTAGGGAATGGACTAAAAATGGTCATACACAGTAACTGAGTGTGGGCTCTGGAAGTCGAACCACATGGGTTTGAATTCTGGCTCCCCATTTACCTAGTTATCTTGGTCAAATTACTTAATTTCCCTGTGCCTTAGTTTTTCTTCTATAAAATGATGTAATAATATTACCTCTTTCATAGGGTTGTTGTGAGTATTAAATAATACTTGCAAAAAGTGTTAGTGCCCCATAAATCAAACATTCTCAATAAATGTTACTATTATTATTCCATAAGTTATCATCAGCCTAAGAATTTCAACACATGCTTTGTAGATTTTTTTTCTCTTTATTATTTCTTGCTTAGGATGATCTTGGAGGTGATGACTGTTTAAAATTATGAGAAGCTAAAGATACCCTGCAAGCCACCTTCTTGGTATCTTGGCCAAGTCTTAAGTATCTTTAAGCAAAGTATCACAAGCAAATACATTTTTTTAAAAACTTAAGGTAATAGTTATTCTCCTAAGCCTCAGAAATTAAACGTTAAAAATAAAAGATAAATGACAGAGATGAACTTAAGAAAAAAGATGAGAGGGCCAGCCCGGTGGCACACTCGGTAGAGTGTGGCGCTTGGGAGTGTGGCGGCGCTCCCGCCGAGGGTTCGGATCCCATATAGAGACCGGTCTGCTCACTGGCTGAGCGTGGTGCGGGCACGACACCGAGGGTTGCGATCCCGTTAACGGTCACGAAAAAAGACAAAAAGGAAAAAAAAAAAAAAGAGAAAAGAAAAAAGATGAGAAATAAGCACTGAATCTTCACATACATGAAACATTTTAAAGAAAGTATGTACCTTCTCATCAAATTTGTACGAAGAGGAAATAAGATATGTAAAAGCGATTTAGAATTTTACAATGGAAGTAATTATACAATTCCATGGTATTATTTCTGCCATCAATTGCTCTCCTAACATCCTCTTTTTATTAAAATCACAAGAGGCAAGCAAAAGAGACATTCAATGAGAACAAACAGGGGAACACGAGTCCCCCAGCAACGTGCTCATGTGGGACCATCTGCCTGCTGCTCTGTGCTCACAGAATTTTATTTGCGTAGAAGAACTGCAGAAGCTCTGGATGATAGTGGCTCTGAAAGAAATTAGCAAAGGTACATGTGAGGGAGGGATTCAGTAAACCTCCTTGACTACATAACGAGTAGACAGTTGTCAACGCAGGGCACAAGTATAAGCAATCGGAAGAGGCAGAGGCTGGTCACCCATGTTCAGCTAATGACCTGGACTGAAACTGCCAATACATTTTGTGCATAGTGTTTCACCACTTACATAGCATTACAGGTAAGTTACACTTGAAATGCATTTGGCCTGAGTCGTTTTATAGGGAGTGTAGGGTAGATGCTGGACATAGCCCTATTCCCACGACTCTTGCACACCAGAGTTCCTCTCGCTCCTCCCTGGGGAGGTCTGCCCCTAGCCAAGGTGGTTGCCCCAGGCAAGGCACATCCCCTTTAGATAGACAGCATGCTGGAAGAAGCAGGACAGTATGTGAGAATGATTTACATTAGCTGGTTGAGGGCCTGCATGCGAAGATGACTTGCATTCTCGCCTTGATCTGTTGACTATGTAACTGCTGTGTGCACTCTGTGGTCTGTGAAGTCTGTGGTGGTGCAGACTTCTTATCAACCAGCCACCATTGGTGTCTCTCGTAAGTCTAATAAACACATATCTCTACCTGCTGGACCTCTGGGTGATTTCTTTGAAATAGGTAAGCACTATGTGAATGCCCTCTCAGATTTGGGGCTCCCTTGCTACAGGGAGTAACTCCCTGGTGTGCTTGGCCACTTTCTGTGTTAAACACCAGGAGGGCAGGGACCCCAAGAGAATCCTCTCTTACTCCAGCTCACTCACCAGCTGCCGGCAGAGTTTAGGGTTTCTTTGATCTTCTTCACTCTGGAAGCTGTGTTCCTTCCTTAGCTTCAGATAAGGAGAACAGGCTCGAAAAGCTGTTTTGCAAGCCTGAGAAAAATATTACTATCTTATTGTCAAATATTAGAAAGTTCTATAATTCCAAGCAAGGAAGGCTATCCCAGAGGACTGTACCCAATCTGTGGTCAAGGGGGCCACTGAGAGTGTGAAAGTAACTTCCTGGTAGTTTGAAAACTTGAACGTTAAAGGATGTATGCTTATAAAATGGCCATGTCTAAAATTTGGGAGCCGATGGGGAGGGCATAGCTCTATAGTTTACCACATCCCTTATTATTCTATCAGAGGTAGTACTGTATTCATAAATTCAATCTCTCTCTTTCCCCTTCTAACTCTAAAGAAAATAAGTGGTTTGGAAGAATCCTTTGCTCCCAATGGTTTTGAAACATTCACCCAGTCCCACTCCAAAGCAGGCCTAATGTTGATCTAACCCTTTTAAGACACAATTTCTCCAAGAAGAAAACAAAAGTTACATAGGGAATTGAGAAGCTGGGGTGGCAAATCTATAGCAGTGAAAAAAGCTAATTGGGCATGAATAACTGTCCTCATTATGTGGGCTGTTGCCCCACTGATTACACCTGCGCCTCTCTGACCCCACCCTCCATTAACCTCAGCTTATCTAGCAGTGCCAGACACTAGGTTTGGGCAGGTGAGGCAGGAGCCAATACTCTTGCTCAGAGATAGATTACACATCGAGGAGGTGCCTTTTCCAGGATTCACATGGATACGCTGCTAAGTACCCAGAACTGCACTGGCAGAAACACAAGGTTTGGCAACTCGACCCAACAGGGCTGCATCACAACTCCCCTCATGAAGAACACGGAGACTTCATGTGGTTGGTTGGAGAGTCACAGTCTTACCTTGGCAACTTGGGGATTTCTATCCTGTAAGTGGATCAGAAAAGACTCTTGCGTCTGCTTAACCTGACGGGTGAAAAATTTCTTCCATTTCCGTCCAGCAAAGGCAGCCAATTGCCCAAACAAAACAAAGGCCAAGTATCTCAGACCGTCGTTCTCCTGTGGATCCCCATCAACAAAACAACAACGAAGCCAGGTCATACCAAAGGCAACTGCATCAGAACCCATCACAGCCATTGCTCTCAGATGTATATTACAGGGCCAGCCATCAGGTCCAGCCTAAAGCACTTAGCTGGGTGGGTAGGGACAGAATAGAGAGGGCCTGAGGTCTTCAGTGACCCTCTTCCCCAGCAGACAAGACGATTAACCTGGGGAATCACTAGTGTTTCTCCCAGCTTTCCAGCTTTTTTGTTAATCATTTAATGGAATAGAGAGGGCCTGAGGTCTTCAGTGACCCTCTTCCCCAGCAGACAAGACAATTAACCTGGGGAATCACTAGTGTTTCTCCCAGCTTTCCAGCTTTTTTGTTAATCATTTAATATTTTGGAGATGGGATACATTTATATGGCTCAAAATTGCCGAGAACGTTTATAGAAATCTCTTTCTTACTCCTCTCCACCCGCCACCAAATTTTGCTCCCCACATGCTGACAAAGTTATAGGTTTTGTGTATATCCCTCCAGAAAATTAGAAAAGAGAATGTCTGTCACATAGTCCTCTCTTTTCGGCCTAAGTGGAAGCACACTGCTGTTATCCACCTTGATTTTCCCATCGAACATTCTGTCTAGGAGCTCTTTCTATGTCAATACCTAAAGGAGTTTTTATTCTTTTTTCTTTTCATTTCTTTTTTCCTCTTCTGCATCATAATTCATTTGACCAGTGTCCTGTTTATTACTCCCAGCTTTTTCGCCAGGTCACCTCTCTACAGTTTGTCTGAGTTTCTCCCATCTATCGTGAAAATAGTCATGTTTCTTCCCTCAACACCCTCCCAACTCTCGCTTCTTTTAAACTGATTGGTTGGTTTGTCCCTGAGCACATGTAGGGGGCTCAGCCCTCTCTTCCTCTCCAAAGTGAGCTGTTTGGCCTGAGTATCTCCCTTTCCAGGTGAGGAGACCAAGGCCCAGGGCATTTCAGTGACTTGCCCAGAGTCACACAGTCAGCTAACAGAGAACCAGTGTGGTAACCCAGTCTCCTGACTCTTGGTTTATGGATTTTTATATCAATGTTTCATGGTCCTGTTCAGCTCCAGGTTAATGAGAGGGAACGGGGGTGGGTGGGCCTCTTCAGGTGGCCAGGAGCACCTAGAACTGGGGGTCACGGAGGCTCACTGGGACTGAGGACACTGATCACTTTGTAAAGTATTTAAAAATATTTTGAAAGCTCATGTGACACAAACAGAAATTGTCACAGGGTTGCAGTGTTTTCTTCATTTTTGTGTGTGTGTGTGTGTGTAGGTGTGCACACATTGGCAGGTGTGCATGTGTGTGTATTTAATCCAATTCAACTAACACTTATTGAGAACTTACTTCATCCAAAGCCCTACCCTGATGCTGTGAGACGTACAGAGATGTGTAAAACAGGTGTCTGTCCCCCTAGGAGCCTGACAGTCATCTAAGTGGGGAGCACACACACAGGCGAGCACAGCGTACAGCAGGTAGTGAAGAGACTGTCAGGAAACAACTACACATAAGAACTTCCGCGTTTTCACAGGGCCAGGGCTTTCTGATCAAAAGTTACAGGCAACCTGGGTTTAAAAAACAGTTGAATGGTAAACAATTTTATTCTTTTTTCTTTTCATTTCTTTTTTCCTCTTCTGCATCATAATTCATTTGACCAGTGTCCTGTTTATTACTCCCAGCTTTTTCGCCAGGTCACCTCTCTACAGTTTGTCTGAGTTTCTCCCATCTATCGTGAAAATAGTCATGTTTCTTCCCTCAACACCCTCCCAACTCTCGCTTCTTTTAAACTGATTGGTTGGTTTGTCCCTGAGCACATGTAGGGGGCTCAGCCCTCTCTTCCTCTCCAAAGTGAGCTGTTTGGCCTGAGTATCTCCCTTTCCAGGTGAGGAGACCAAGGCCCAGGGCATTTCAGTGACTTGCCCAGAGTCACACAGTCAGCTAACAGAGAACCAGTGTGGTAACCCAGTCTCCTGACTCTTGGTTTATGGATTTTTATATCAATGTTTCATGGTCCTGTTCAGCTCCAGGTTAATGAGAGGGAACGGGGGTGGGTGGGCCTCTTCAGGTGGCCAGGAGCACCTAGAACTGGGGGTCACGGAGGCTCACTGGGACTGAGGACACTGATCACTTTGTAAAGTATTTAAAAATATTTTGAAAGCTCATGTGACACAAACAGAAATTGTCACAGGGTTGCAGTGTTTTCTTCATTTTTGTGTGTGTGTGTGTGTGTAGGTGTGCACACATTGGCAGGTGTGCATGTGTGTGTATTTAATCCAATTCAACTAACACTTATTGAGAACTTACTTCATCCAAAGCCCTACCCTGATGCTGTGAGACGTACAGAGATGTGTAAAACAGGTGTCTGTCCCCCTAGGAGCCTGACAGTCATCTAAGTGGGGAGCACACACACAGGCGAGCACAGCGTACAGCAGGTAGTGAAGAGACTGTCAGGAAACAACTACACATAAGAACTTCCGCGTTTTCACAGGGCCAGGGCTTTCTGATCAAAAGTTACAGGCAACCTGGGTTTAAAAAACAGTTGAATGGTAAACAAACCCTGGAGGTTCAGATGGCACCTTCAGAGAGATTTGGAGACATCTCCCTCGGGACATCTGCTTCCACTACAGCATGGTGAAGTAGAAAACTTCCTCTCCCATCCCCAGAGAAGACTGGATTGCATCAAAGCAAAAAATCTCTGTCACTGCAGGAAGGAGGGACCAATGTGCCAGCAGCTCCCACAGAAGCACCATGTTTCACAACCTTAAGGTCTTCCTTCCCTGCATGAGGTGCCGGCACATCTGGCTTTCGCTGGGTTGCTCCGTGGAGGGTTAGGGTGTGGGGAACTGAAGAGGATTGCTCTGGGGGTAAATGAAAGGTCTGCTCCCTGTTCTATAGGTCTCATCCTTCAGAGAGAGAGAGGTACTGTGGTTAACTGTGTCTGGCTAACTTGTTAGCTAGCCTGTTGGGCATCTCAGCTCCTCTTAGTTTTGGGTTGAACAGTGTACCGATGCATGTTTGCTTTGCCTGTCTTGTCATCTGGTGGTTAAGAGTACAGTCCCTACTGTCAGAGGGCCTGGTTTCATATCCACGTACTGACTCTGTGAACTTTGGGCAAGTTCTAACCTTTCTGTGCCTTGCTTTCCTCATCTGTATAGGAAACATAATTACAGTGCCTTTCTCACAGGGTTATTGTGAAGATTAAATGAGATAATCCATGTAAATTGCCTGGCACACAGTAAGTGCTCAAACTATTGTTATTGTTACATTTATAAGATCACACTGATGACCTGTTGGCATCACCATCATCATCATCATTTTCCATGTGCATATATTCTCTTCTCTATTAAAATGAAAACTTGTGGGGTAGTGATGGAATCCTACACATCTTTCTATGTCCTCCATAACTCCCAGCACAGTACTAGTCTCTCAATGAGATTAGTTAATAAACAAGTAAATAATAGAGACCTTGTTCCCCGAGCAACAAACCACTTGGGGCTCATGTTTCCAATCCCACTTTGATTTCAATAACCCAGAATTGTTCTGAGTTGTCTCACTTACATCATCTAATAAAGTCCTGGTCTGAAGGGTGATGTCTATGAAGAAAGAGCCCAGACTTTTCCCCTGGATCTTTCCCAGGATGATGGTCAGAGTCTTCATACTCTCGTGGATGACTTCAGAACTCATGGGGTCACACAATCCATGCACCAGCAGGTCCAGGACAACTTTCTTATACTTCCTCACCTGTTACCAAGATTCAAAAAGCATTAGTAGCACAGGAATTGCTCCCCATGAGTTGAAAAGCAACTTTACTTTTAATCTATCAATAATCAAGGACTTGAACTAAGAGAACATGCTTTCTTCAGGATCTGCTGCAACAATGCTCATCAAAATGCAAATGCTTCTATGAACCCAACCCAGGAGCCCAACTTAGTCTTGGAAGGAGAATCAGCAGTGTGGCCTATGGGAGATAAGGCTGGGTAGGCACTTCAAGGAGGGTGGGGAACCTGGATGATCAGAGGGCCTGGGGAGTACTAGGCACCTTTATGGCGGAGAGGAGGTGAAGTGGTCACCGAAGTTGGCAGATGCTAAAGGAGGAGGTGGGAAAAACATCTTTTACTAAACAAGCATAAATGATTAGAAAATCACTTAAATTCACCAAGGAGGGTGATGTCCAGCTGTGTGTTAATCGTGCCTGCAGCTGTTTCCCGTGGCTGACGGTGCTGAAGTGTGATGACCCTAAAATGACCCTA